CCCCAGCCAGCATGGCTGGCTGGGGAATTCTGGGAGTTGAAGCCCACTCATCTGAAAGTTGCCAAGGCTGAGAAACACTGATCTAGACACCTGTTGTGAATCTGATAACCCACACTACAGGCAGAGAACTGTGACACCTTCACCAGAACAGCCTGTTGTGACTTTCCTGAATGTGACACTTTAAAAAGAGAGGTAGAAGCCAACCTTCCAGTCCAGAAAATTAAGATTTACAAATTAATCCCCAAAACAAGATCTCTCAGCACCTCTTCGCCTGAACTAAGCAGGTATGTCTCCAAAGGAGCCCAAATGTCCCACTTCAAACCGATTCGGCCACAGAGAAGCGAGAAGTAGTAAAACCAACAAACGTAAAACAGTTTTTGTGCACTTGAGCAGAACGAAGTGTTTGGGGACAGAGGCGGCACCCAGACCTGAAACGCTACCTTGGCATCTCTTCCATTTTGCCAGGAAAAAGGCATTTTGTGAACACTGTAACAGTCCCTGAAGGAGGAAGAAAACCAAATCAAGACGTTCCTTTGGCGCACACCCTCTCAGCTTGTGTTAACCGCAGGCCAGCCGTGCCACAGCGGGCCCCTCTTGGCTTCCTCTGGCTCAGGTCAAAAAAGCCTTTCAGGGTGAACTTCGTCCTTTTCACATTCTGAACAAGAGAACTCCCAACACGAATCCAGGCCCGAGCAGGGCAGCCACTTTGCCAGCCGAGACGGCTAAGAGTCAAGGCCGGGCCCGTCCTCAGCTGCCTCCTCCGTCCCTCGGCCTGGGCAGATCTGGGCAGCTGGAGGAAGAGAGGCCCTCGATCATCTTTTGCTTCTTCCTCTGGATGAGCCTTCCACCTGTGAAGCCCAGCACGCCGCCACCCAGGGCGGCTGCCAGTCCAGCCACCTTAAAGCCAGCCAGCAGCCCGATAGGCCCCCCGACGATTCCCCCAAGGAGGGCGCCAGCAACCGGAAGAGCTGCCAGTTTGTAGGTTGCAGCCTGGAAAAGAGAGTGGCACGGAGAGGGTCACTTTAAGGGCAGAGTGCCTCCTCGGCATCATCAAACAGCCAACCAGCAATTCTGCACGAATAGGTAGCAGGAAATCAGGGGTTGATCCCTCCCGAAAATGGCAATAAACTGAACACAGAACAAAGATGTCTCTAACTGTGAATCCATTCCAGCCAGGTCCAGTGGCACACTGGACTCAGAACAGCCCCGGCGAATTAAAACAGGCTACAGCCATAAAGAGGCAAGAAAGCTGGGGACTTCCTAGCCAAAACAAAGAAACTTCTCTGAAGCCGCTGGACTAAAACGTCACTGCGAGGCTGTGCGCTGGGGAAGGTGAAAAGACGTTTGGATAGCGTGAGCGCCCCGAGCGGGAGTCGCTATCCTGCATGCACCTCCTAGTCGGCAGGAGTTGGGCAACGGTGCGTTGGCTGGCAAAGGAGCCTCTGGGTTAGTGATGTGAATCGATGAGCAGGCTTGGGGTACCAGGGGGCTTGGGCTGCTCTCGTGGCACCAAAAGGTGCCAAGACTGACTAGTCCTGGGTTTCCTGTTAGCAGGGAAAGCCGAAGGAGGCACAGGGGTGATTCAGTCCTCCTCACTTGAAAGCGGAGAAAAAGACCCACCTTGGATAAGCTTTTGGTCCCCTCCTCCACATTTGCAACTGCAGCAGAGACATTATCTTCGATCCGGTCGACCTTCTCCTGCTGACTCTGGAAGCAAAGCCATCCCCCATGAAGTTTCCAGGGGGGAGAAGTCTTGGGCCAAGAAGGCACAGCCCTTCTAACTCAGAACATCACTGCAAGCAACAACTAGCACCCTCAGCCCAGGGGTGGGGGGCAATGTGATGCCTTTGCATAGCTGGGGAGGATGGAAGCCAGCCCTCCACATCCGGAAGGCACCGGGTGAGAGAAGGGGGACCCAACGCCACGCCTCTAGAGCTACTCCTCTCTAACAGATGCACGAGGCATACAAAAATGTATGTTCTGCCCTTCTGGCGCTAATGCAAACACTGGTATTTGGAGAAAAAATGTTCTGCAAGGAAGTGAATGTCAACTTTTAGATTAAAAAAGGGGGTGTTCTTTGCGAAACTAAATAATAGCTAGATGTTATCATGATTATTATTAAACTTATTTTTGTTTGTACAGATAGATAAGGGCCTAGGAAGGGGGATCGAAGTGAGATGTTTATTACATACAGGTAAAGCCTCATTAAAATGGCTTGGACCTCTCAGTGGGTTTTATCTGAGGTCGTAAGACTGCACGAGCACCGTGCAGATAGAACGATTTTCTACCTTGGGTCTGTGTTGCATCATCAAAAGTATTTCCAAAATTTATTCTCACAGCTGCACTTCCATTCTGCGCTGCGGATCAAGGGGCCCTGCTCATTTTAAGAGCCATCCGTTTGGAAATTAAGAGTCAAGGATGTTTGCTGTACCCAAAGTTCCTTTTTTTTTCTTTTTCAATTCAGAGTCATTTTCAGTCAGAAATGGAAGCCTTAAAATATACTCTAGGGAGCAAAAAATGCTATAGAATGACTGTATACAAAATGCAAATATTACTCAGATGTCTACATTTTTCCCCTGAATCATCATTTTACCTGGCAGAGAATACAAATGCCTTTGGGGATCTTGGTAGAAAACCAGTTAGATCCTGGTTCTCTTTCTTTAGAATCCAGATAAATGGAAACCTTGCTCTACTTACATTGACAAGCAGGGAGAACTCCGTCACAAGATTGCTAAGTTCAATCAAATCCTAAAAAAACACCAAAACGTTACTTGTTCTGACAGGCTTTTTTACGCGATCATCGTACTAAAAAGTAAATAATAATGGGGAGTGCAAAATACCTCTTCTAGTATTTCCCATGATTCAGCAGCATTTTGATCCTGGGGGATTTCAGGTAATGGAGAAAAAACCTGGATGGGGGAGTTTCCTCCATCTTCAGCATCACAAAAAGTTTCTGAAGAAAAACAGTGCATCGTCACCACGGGCCGTATCAACAATGCAAAACAGAAAATAAACCCTTACACAGGCACGTCTCCATCCAGAACCATGACACAATCACAGCCATGGCAAACCTTTTATAAAGAATCCTGCCACAAGGAATAAAATAAAAATTAAAACAGCAGATACAAGCACGAGGACAACTGGATCAGACAGAGCACGACACAGCTATTCCTTAGACTGTTTCTCAACCCTGGTGATTTTAAGATGTGTGGACTTCAACTCCCAGAATTCCCCACCCAGCATGGCATGGCTGGCTGGGGAATTCTGGGAGTTGAAGTCCACACATCCTAAAGTTGCCAGGGGTGAGAAACATTGCCTTACACTTAGTTACAGTGAGGTTGTCCCAACCAGCAGTAGAATGGAAGCTTAGAAGGGTCAGATATTTGACTGATGTTTGGATGGGAGGCCACTAGGAAACCTACCTCTGAAAGCTAGACTGGTAAATTGGGGGAAAAAAAAAAACATCTTTGAAGAAGGCAGTAGCAAGCCACCTCCATATATTTGCAAGAAAACTGTACGGAGGTCTCCATGAAGTCACCAGGAATCAATCCTGATTACTGGGGATTGACGGTCGTTGCATTTTCTGAGTAACCTCCCAGCTGAGAAAATACAAAGTCCATCGATCCACAGTAATCAATTACTATGGATTGATTGACTGTTTTGATTCACCCCTCCTCTTTTGAACTGCAAACCCTTTGGTTGAAAGGGTGGACTAGTTTTTAAGCTTTCTGCTTCTTGTCCAACTCTTGCTTTGTGACTGCATTTCTACTGAGCGTTTTAAGAAAAGAAGAAAGGCACACTGAAAAGAAGAGGAAGACAGGAAAGACCAGAGCACCAAGGGGATGAATAGGAAATTTCATTTTCAAATTTCCTAGCTGCAAAAATGAGATGGAATCATCAGATCACCTTATGGTAAAATGAACCCTCCGTCTGGAAACGCCAAGATAATTCTTCTATCCGCCTCTCCAGAAACACCGGGGCCCTTTTGCCCAGGAGATCCAAAGGCCGCGCACGCTGCCGGTCTGGAAGTTTGCAGACCCAGCATATCTGGGTGGTACCAAATGGGTGGCTCCTTTATTATCCCAAGAATGCGCTTCTTCAAGCGACACCTATAACTATGAAGCAACGGTACCTGCTCCTACAGTGGCAGAGCGGGCTAGAGGAGTCTGCGATGATGATGCCTCTTGCTCCCTGAACTGTCTTTTCAGCACTTCGGCAGATTCCGAATGCAGCTGTAAAAATTCTTTAATGGCCAACGAAGCCTCATCTTTCACAGGATCAATCATTCTCTGCAAAGTCAGAATGTCTTCCTTTCGGACTCGGGTGCAAAGGTTCTCCATCTCTCGGATATTTGCTCGCAGTTGCTGTAGTATTTCAAAAAGACTCATCCGTTTTACCTCTGTTATGCATAAATTACAAATCATACTAGATGCCAAAGAGATAGAGTCCTGTTTATTATATATATGTGGGCAGGGGGGTGTATGTATCACACACACATACTGATTTCAACGTTTTTCTTGTCCGAGTCAAAATGGTGTTAGCATCCTACGGGTCAGCCACCTAATTTATTCTGGACTGCAAGAATCGGATTGTGAGCTAAGTGTGTGTCAAAATCAATCTTAATCCCCTGTCACCTACCCTGGAAGGCAAACTGACCGAGGAAGACCTTCAGGGAACATAAAGAGTGGCTAAATACACTGCAGTTCCTAAAACACCTATACTACCTTACCCATGTCCACACAGGTAGACTTCAACTCCCAGAACTCCACAGGGAACCTAGCTATTGCTTGAGAATTCTGGGAGTTCGCCCACACACACGACAGTGGCCACAACTGGAAAACATCAGCCTAAACAGAAAAGAACTTGCACTCTCTTAATTTACTCATGCTGAAATGTTATTTCTCATATATACTGCAGTGAAAGAATTCAAGGTGGAAAACAGATCCAGATCAACATAACTCTTTTGAAACACAAATCAATAAGCGACATGATTACATCAACGGCAGGTAACTTTAAGAGCGCAAGAGCAACCAGGGCCCCTCAAGTTTTTACCATCTTGGTTTCTTACATCAACCAAACCATCAAAACAGCATCCGGATTTAGAAGAATCTCGGCTGGCGAAGATGCCACAGAACAGCTCTAGAGCCACGGTTCCTAGTTTGTGGCCCACCACGTCCTTGAAAATAGTCCAGGCACTAATCACAGTACAAATAAATTTGCTGTTACTGACTAAACCAGTGTTTCTCAACCTTAGCCCCTTGAAGATGTGTGGACTTCAACTCCCAGAATTCCCCAGCCAGTCCACACATCTTAAATTAGGGGAAACGCTGTGCCTAGAGACTCAGGAGCGAGGCAGTTTATTACAAACAAATCCACATAAAAAATAAAATGGGGCAACATCCACCACAGCTCTGCTTTCCCCAGAAATGTTCCGTCAAGGGTTCATTTTTACTGATTTATTTATTTTACAAATTTATTTATTTATTAAATTTGTATGCCGCCCACCTCCCCCAATGACTCTGGCCGGCTCACGATTAAAACCAAAAACCCATGAACGATTAAAAAATACCACATAGATAATTAATTAATCCATTAAAAAGTGAAACCGTAAAACATTTTCCAAGCAAAGGCTACTCTGTCTTCTCCAGCGGATCTCTACAGCTACCGTTTCCTTACCTGAACCGTACGGCCTGCATTGATATGCTCTTCGTGCAATTTGTCCCACAGCCTGCACCTCTGATACTGAAGACAACAGAGAGACAGAAGAACATCGTGCGTAAAAAATGCTGCATCTGGCAACAGAAAAAAGGACACCTCCCTCCCTTCCCCCCCCCCCATTTCTGACCCTTCACACGCAAGGTTTAATTTAATTCAATTCCAGAATGACTTGGGAAGGTTTACGCTAAAAAATAGTAAACAATAAAAAAGAAAATTCCAATAATGATGGGAGCGTAAATCTCAGCGTGGCCATATTTGTGGGGATGATAGAGGTTGGGGAAGCATCTTCTATAGTCCTTTGTGCAGCACAGAGCAGAAATCTTCAGAAATAAGTTGCTGTGGCTGGTCATCTTTTTTCTCTCTGAAGAGCAACCTCCCTTTGGCCCAGCATTGGGACTCCCCTCAAGATCAAGGCGCACCACAAGGACGCTGGATGGAGGGCAAAGCCATCCTTGGCATCTGCTCCTTTGGAAATTCAAGGGCATTCTGAAAAGACTTTGCCACGTAGCGGCCTAGCATTGCTGGACTGAAGCAGTTAATAAGTGAAATAAAAATAAAATAAAAAGTAAAATAGAAATAAAATACAGGGCTACTGGTCAAAGCAACACGACTCCCTGCCTTCCACAAAAAGCCCGTCGACCGCTTGAGCCACTGATGCTGGCCAGAGCACACTGAATCGAGCAAAGGGGGGTCAGCCCAGGCTGCTAGTAATGGAAGAGAAAGCCGGGGCACACTTCTATGCCACAGCCAAATGCAACACGCCCTGAGCTGAGGAGAACAACCCTGAAGACACACAGAACTCAGCTGCGGATATGCAAGAGAATGCGACTCACACAAGGAGGAGCCTACTGTCGCTACACCAGGCACCCTTAATATCCTGGGGAAACATTCTACTCTCACCTGGGCTCAGGCAGCCACGAAGGGCTATTTAGAACCAGAAACTCTCTTTGCAGGCCAGCCTTCCTGTTAGCGCACATCTGAAAACCATCAGAAATCAAATATCTAGTCCACTAAGTCCAGCTCTGAATCCCCTAAATTCTAGGAGAAAAGTCAGTCGCTTGTCTTGGGCTCTGCTTAACCTGATTTGCTTCTTTTCAGCTTATCAAGAGACGGGATCTCACCCACCTAAGCCATTATGGCTTGTTTAACAGTCTACAGTTTGAAAAGTCCTAGATGTGAAAGCAGGAAATCCAAGCCCGAAATGTTGGGGACCTTTTTGTACATGCCACAATGAGCACTGAATCAAACCACGCAAGTATTTGAATCCTTCACTGTGAAAAATGGGGATGTTCTAAACAAAAAGATGTTCAAATTACATCACAGATGTTTCTCCATGGAAGGAGTATGATGGGTTTCCTTTTTTTTAACCAAACTCTTTCAGCTTTGCTTAGATCAGGCTGGTATCAACAGGACATGTTTCAGCGTAGGTGTACAATTATTTATTTGTTTAATCACATTTTTATAGCTGCCCATCTCACACGGTGGCTCTGGGCAGCATACACAGTAATAACCAAGAATAGCTAAAAACCATTAAAACAACCAATTTAAATTAAAATAAAAACAAGATAAAAGCAAATAAAAAACAAAATGGCAGGAAAACACACAGAGAGTGCATTCCATTAACTGTCATACAACCCTTTAACAGGCTCCACTCTATCCTGGGATCCCCAGGCCAGTTGACACAACTGCGTGTTAAGGATCTTTGGAAGGCCAACAAGGCTGGAGCCAGCCTCACCTTGGGGGGGGGGCTGCTTCACAGGGTGGGGGCCACAGCAGAAAAGACTTTCTTCCTAGGTCCCACCCAATGGCATTCCCTAATCGATGGGGGAACTTGCCTCTCCTGCCGGACCTTCTTAAGATTAAATTTTTTTAAAAAAAGAAGAATTAACCTTCTCAATATTTATCTGATGTTTTCTTAACCTTTCCAGGTCTGTTGGAATGGCAACTTTAATAAACTTCTGGATCGCAGGCTCAAGGCGACGCAAATTAACCTTTTCCTCATCTTTAGGCATCTTTAGTTGTTTAATCCAGTGCAGAGTAGCTCTTTGGTTACCTAAACACAATTTGAAAGATTATTTAAACATTAATACAGTAGGAAATCATAGAATCACAGAATTGGAAGGTACCCCAGAGATCACCTAGTCCAACCCCGTTTGCTGCAGGACCTGCTAATAAAGCATTTTAGACAGATGGCTACCCGGCTTCACTTGGAGTCCTCCAGTGAAGGGAAACATGCAGCTTTATGAGGTGATCTATTCCAC